ACACCAGGCACAAATTACTTAAATGGGGCTCACCCTGATTCATGTTTCTATTGAACAGCAGTTCATGGGGAAATGTGTTCAGAAGAATTACTGGTGAAACTGATTTTCATGTACCTTGATGCTCCTAACTGGCACTAGCTACAGGTTTAAGGCTTGGCTTAATGCCAGATTGATGCCTCATGTAATTGCTGTTTTGCAATTAGATGACTATTTATGTATATCAGGCTGTGCACATGCTGTGGAGCTTAAGACAGTCTACAATCTACTGTTGTCTATCCAAGAATGTGCTGACTGGGAGTAAAAATGTTTGGAAAAATGCTTTTGGGGAAACCAGGTATCATGGATTTTGTTTCTGAAGTGGGATTTGAGATTTCCCCTGAAAACAGCTTAGGCATCATCTAAATGTTTCCACTATTGAAAGATTTTTTTTTTCTCATTTGCCGCCTTACTATCAAGAGCAGAATAACTCTAGAATTAGGATACAAGGACACAACAAGGATAATTCCATGTTTTACAAGGCAAATGATAAATAACTGAGATGTCTGAACAACTGAATGCTGCCCTCAGTGTCAGAGGCATTTTACAGAGGGCAGAATTTTGATATCACCTTTCACATCCATCCTTCATTCTGTAAACTCCACTCCCACAACACACATTCAAGCAGAGACTCACAAACAAATCTGCACACGGTTTTGCAAAGATGCTCTGAAGATGCGAAGATACTCCAGGTGTACTCACACAACTAAAGACAACACGCTTTCATTTTTCCACCCCGTGCAAACATTATCTTGCTAATAGCAGAAAGATAGAGAATATTGTTGGAATGAATAAGGGAGGCAAAGGGGCAGAATAAGATAGTCAGATATAAGGAGAAGATGATGAAAACATACACACACACACACAAAAGACTGCAGGGGTAAACAGAAGCCAACAAGGAAGCAAAAGCAATTGGAAATGCAAACTAACGCTATAGGCACTCTCACAAGAATGTGTCAAGCACACAGTTTGAATCTTTTTTTTTTTTTTTAAAGAAAGAAAATGGGACCAGTGGGAGCAGCTCATTGGTGAAATCAAACTTAACTTGTACTTGTATTGGCTGAGGAGTCTCAAACATTATTCATGACGTAGGTGAAATTTAAGCATAAAAAATAAGTGTGTTCCAATTTAAAGTCCCCTTTGTAGCTGCTATGTTCATGTATTTATCAAGACGTGAAGACCTTAACATAAACAACAAGAGCTGAATGTCACCTTCCTTTAAGTTTTCTTACAAATATGTTTAAAGTCGTTTGATCTCAGAAGATGATATATGCTTATAGGAACAATGGCCAAATTGTTTCGGGCATTCTGGTGTAGCAAGCCCTTACCCATAAACCACTTCCAGACAACATTTCCTTTTCTGTGAGCTGTGAGTGTTTACAACCCACCTAGCATCTTGAGAAGCAACTGTGTCTGCAGGGAAAAGTCGCCCCTCCAGACATGTGTGCAAAATAAAACTGTCTGCAAAACCTGTCATTTCTTGGTTCATTACATCGCCAGAGTTGTGCCCGTTCATCTGTTTCTGGCTCAGTTTAACAGTAAAGTTAAAGAAAAGTCACAAAGAGGCTCGATTCTGGCTAACTTCAGCAGTATGACACCAATAAAAAGATTTCTTGTGATTTACCTGAAATCAACTGTTCTTAAGTTTGTCAAAAAAAAAAACCAACAATATTATGATGCTTATTTGTGAAAATTAAAATGTAAGCTCGTTCAGGTCTTTCCTAACGAGGGGGAGAAAACAACTTCTAAGTGGAGGTCATATCGATCTTTTGTGATGCATTCAAGCACGTCTGTAAATCCAAACACGACTGCTACACATCTGCTTTTGTGGAACAGCGTCAAACAGATTAATAGCTCAAGTTAAAATTTAAATCTTGTACGTATTGTGAGCTGCACTTTCATGCAGATATCTAAATATAGAGATCATTACATTTGTTGTCAGATAAGTGTCAATGGGAGCTTAAATGCCATCATTGCATTGATTGTGTTCCGCCTTCTTCTTGTTTCCTCACGTTCTGTTTTTTCCCTGCATAGAGCAAAGCCAGCTGATTCAAGATTGGTCAATAGTACTCAATGTAATAGAAACAGAAAACCAGAATACTTCATATCCTTAAAGCCAGACCCCTCGATACAGATAATAAGTAATAAAATGAAGAGCAAACGTTGTTATTCACTTGAAGAAATTACAGCGAAGTCAAGTGCCGTACACTGATTCTCCTGAAGAATCACTAAGACACAACGACACAGAGTCAGTGATTCATGTAGGCAAACAAATACACACATTTTTACACACTTACAAGCACAAAGTGACTAATAGCAGCCGTATATCTAATTAAGAGAGCCAGCAGGCGGGGCAGAGCAGTGTGCAGAGATAAAGCTGTGGAAGTGTAAACGCTGTGCAGAAAGGGAGGCAGAGAAGCATGAAGCAAAGGACAGTCCAGATGGACAGATACAGCAGACAAGGAAAGCACAGAGAGATAAAAAAATGACTTTGCAACCCTGAGGGACATACACACTGTATGTTACAGCTCATAACAATCATATTCCACCAATTTAAGCTATAGGCAGCATGTGAGAAAAAAACGTACGGGAAACAGATAACAGTCACAGTTGTGTCTGTGAATGGGGGCGGGATAGAAAAGGGAGACGAGAGAGGAAGAAGGTTTTTATCTGCACTGCTGTCAAGAACTATTCGTAATTTGCGATGTGATTGATGTGTTTGATATTCATTAGTCAACCCATCTCAGAGTCGACAGTTGGTCTATAAATACAAACAAACCTACAAAAAGATCTCCTCATGCTTAGTATGTGTAAAAACAAAGTCACATTTTACCATGTGATATTATGGATCACATTTAATAATAACCTGCATTATGATACAGAAAAACATGGCAGTGGGGGATCCAGAATAGGGTTAATTGTATTCTTATGATTGATAGTATTGCTAAATATAATTGTTAATATTGCAGACAGTTGATTATGTGTATTTTGTCCATTCTTCTTTTTCATTTAAAATGTTGCTCTTCTAACATTTTCTTGTTAGAACTAAAGAACATTGCAGCCGCTGCTGTTGTTGTTAATCTCACAAACCAAAGTGTTAGATGTACAAATACTGACCTGATGGTGGAACTATAGAGAATCATTAAAGCGGTAACTAATTTGTACCGTTTGTGAATATCTGTCTTAAATTTGTCAGCAATCCATACAGGAGATGGATGAACATTTCTGCTCCAATCAAAACTGTCAACCTCCTGATATAGCTGAAAAGTCAGAGGAAACGCAAAAATAAGCAAGGTTCAAGCTCTGCTGACACAAATGACTCAATAAAAATGTCATGTTTAATAGTTACGATTTTTTTTGTCCCAACTAAAACGGCTGGCATCCCAATCCACAGCCAGTGTCGCTAAATATAATGAAATAATAAATTCCCATTAAACTAAGGTTTATAATTATATTTACATTAACATAAACTTTAGACACCTAAAAAAAGATTTGAAATAATCTATAAGTGTGTGTCTCAGTGTAAGGTTTTGTGATTGTTTTCGACAAACCACATATAAAAGCTCAAACTACAGACGATAGTGCAGCATTTATTGGTTGTGTACACAACAGCACTGCAGATAGGATGCCGTGACAACAGCTGTTAGTTGTTGTTTTCCTTTTTTTGATGAAAAAGGTCATACTTGTCAACCACAACAGACACTGCTGTCACAATGTTTCAGATTAAATGTAACATATACAGAGAAACACACGGACGTACCCACACGCACAGTGTGTACCTGTGCGTATAAGGTTACACAAGCGTACCCAGCTATAGAGACACATGTGTTCCTCTCTGAGTAATACTGCTGTGTCCTCTGCGGATGTTTCAGAACATGCCGTTCTTAACAGAGCAGCAGTGTCACGGTGATCTGGACATCTGTCTCTCACATCTGCCCGTGTCACTGACACACACAGAAGGCTGGACACATGTCAGCACTTGATATTCATATTGGGTTGGATCTCCCTGTTGGATCAGCATGTCCCCACCTTCAGCCCTTTTTCCCTTAACCCGCTTTTTTGTCTGCGGCCCCACTATACATCGAACACCAGAGGGGATGGGAGGGGTAAAAAATGAATCAAAAGGGAGTGAGGGGAGTCTGAAAACAAAAAGTTATATCCACTTCAGAGGAATAATGCAAGTGATTCCAGCTCTATACTCCACCTCCTCTCTCTCTCTCTCTATTCTGTGGTTTCCTCTTATTGTGGGAATGTATTACAGGTGTGGTGCGTGTTTGCTTGTAAGCAGGAGTAGCATCGATTTTCTGTCGCCTTTAGAGGATAACCAAAGAGTATAACATTGTGCGGTGTGTGACAGAATGCTGCACGTGTGAGTGTGTGCGCCGTATCATCAAGATTGGTTAGAGGAAGGGAAAAATAAAAATGTGGGTACCTCTGTGACAATCACACAACCGAACAATAAAAATAAAAAAAACACAAGACCACACACATTCTGCACCAGAAAGGGTGACCTGAGCAGGCTTTTTTAGCACCTGTGTGGAGTGGCAAAGGGTATTAAGGATAGTCAAAACAAGAACAACAGTCCCCTGAGTTTGGATTTAGGGTTTTGAAACAGTTTAAAATGAAGATAACTGTCAAGGGAATTCAAGGTTAAGGGTAAACAGTTTGGGAATGATTGAAAAGTCTGTCAGGAGAATTGGCACACGAAACAATACACGAATGTTTGTCTGGGTGCGTGTGTTACAAAGAGATTTGTGTCAGCATTGTAATTTGTCTGCACTGAACCATGGCTATTGTTGTCCTTGTAAACTGAGAGCAATGAGTTTTCACTTAAGATGCGTCTGATAACAGGAGCTCTGCTGTATGAATTCAATTAATGTGGCTTGTGTTTTCTCTCCAACTCTCTTTCCCTCCATCTCCACTTCCCATTCATCCTCGTCTCCTCATCTTTCCTGTCCTCAAAGGTTATGGCGGGGTGGAGTTACTCTTGGTGCTCTGTGGCCTGGATCTCTCTCTGCCGTGCCCTCGCCACTGCATCTGCTACACTTCACCTAGCACCGTCTCCTGCCAGGCCCACAACTACCATGCCGTGCCCGAGGGCATCCCCGCCCAGAGTGAGCGTGTCTTCCTACAGAACAACAAAATCCAGCGGCTTCTGCGTGGCCACTTCTCACCAACCACCACCATGTTGTGGCTTTACTCCAACAACATCTCTTACATACAGCCGTCCACCTTCCACGGCTTCGACCGCCTGGAGGAGCTCGACCTTGGGGACAACAAACACCTGAAAGCCATCGCTTCAGACACCTTTATTGGCCTGGGTCGGCTACACGCGCTGCATCTGTACCACTGTGGTCTGATCAGCCTGCCTCCAGGGATCTTTGCGGGGCTCCATAATCTCCAGTATCTCTACCTACAGGTACATGGATAACAGCCACCTTTTATCTCTACTGTATATTGCAGCAGCAGCCACAATCGCATTATAGTGTAATCTGTCCATCAGCCTGGCTCAGCACTTGCTGCCTATGAATTGGACGCTGATCAAATGCTCCCTGTTATCCTAAGTGCAGGGAAAACACTACAAAGCAGTTTTCAGAATAGCTCCTGTGGTTAACCGCTGAAGGCAAACAGGACAGGCGCTCAAATCCAGGATGAAGGATTTGAATTAAATAATTCATTATATGTCAGGGTTATTGGGAGAACAGCTTCTAGTTTATAAAAAAAGATCTCATATTCATATTATTGATGGGAAAATCAATCTAATATCGACAGAGTGTGAGGTAAAGGTTAGCTCTTGAATGTCTGAAAGCATTTGCATGTCATCTATAACCTTGTGGTACAACAGCTTGTCAAATGTACAGACAACAAAAGCTAGTCTTGACTAGATTGTACAATCTTTGGCCATAGGTCTCCAATCTTTAATAGACTTCTTGAATTTCAAAGCACTGATCAAAGGGAAAGAAAGTTACACTCCACAGGCTGTATCGATCACTGAATAGCCAGCCATACTGCATTTAAAATAACACTGAATCCAAAATACCTTGAACTTCAAGCTATGCCCTGCATGTACAGTGCATTCTTTAATTTATTATGTACAAAGTCATTCCATTGACTATGACGTTAATACTGATTGTGCTTATCTGATACTTAAAGATACTCTCACTTCTACTAGTTTTTGCATATTCTATGGATACCACATGTCTGACTTATCAATGGTACTGAATATTTTAGGAACACAAATTGAAAGTACTTTATTATATATTTTGTCCTGAATTAATGACCACAGCCAGTGGAATTTATGCTCTCTAAATATAAACTACGTAATTGATTGTCCCGCAATGCAGTAACAACAGTGTGACTAACTTAACCAACTAACTGAAAAATAACTAGCTTTGATTGAAGTGGAAAAGGGTGTTAGAATAAAAGGGAAGTATGACATTGGACAGTGTGAGGCAGGACAGCATGACTCCAAACTGTCAGCTTCCCCAACACTTTGGTGATGACTGTCATTGAGGTTGGCTAAGCCACATTTGAACCAGAATGTGGTAACATTACATTCTTTTACAACCTGTTCTGCTGTCCTCCACTCTGATTGAATCTTTGGCTGATAACATTCAACAGCTGGTGGGAGAGACGCTCCTTGGTGCTCGGATCTTGTGGTACACATACCTGTACTTTCTCTGACTTTGTGGTGTTCTGAAGTTTCCATATTACAATGACCCAAAAAGATATTAAATCTTGAGTGTCAAATGATTAGACTCATGTAGGAGTTTAGTGTGACTATACTTAAACTGAGGCTGGACTAAAGATAGTTGCTGCAAATGCTGGAGCCTTAGTCTTAACGTTGCCTTCTTCCTCTTCACCCTTACAGGACAACCAGTTGGAATTCCTGGAGGACGACCTGTTCATTGACCTGCTCAACCTCAGTCATCTCTTCCTACATGGCAATCGACTATGGAGTCTACGCCAGAACACTTTCCGTGGTCTGGGGGTCTTAGACCGCCTTCTACTCCACCAGAACCGAATCCAGTGGGTGGACCGACAGGCTTTCCATGACCTGCGACGCCTCACCACACTGTACTTGTTTAATAACTCCTTGACTGAGCTATCTGGTGCCAGCTTGACTCTACTGACAGCCCTGGAGTATCTACGACTTAACAACAACCCCTGGGAGTGTGACTGTAAGGCCCTGTCACTTTGGGATTGGCTGAGAAGGTTCAGAGGCTCCACCTCCTCTCTTGTGTGTGTGTCACCACCAGAGCTGGTTGGAAAGGACCTGAAAGAGCTGAAGAAAGAAGAGCTGCCCAGTTGCTTGTCGGTCGAGGGTCATGGTCATGGTGGCCCTGGTAGGGAGATGGAGCACGGAGAGTCTTTGAACCATCTGAATCGTCACAGGAATCATCACAACCACCATCAGCGGCCATATTTGCCCCACGGGGACCAGTACAGCCTGCCCTCGCCCTCGCCTCTGCCACGGCCGCCAAAGGGAGGTCGCAGAAACTGTACTCGCAGGGGGCGTAAGGCAAAGGGCGGGCTCAATGAGGTGCAGGTACACCAGGTGGAAGGTGAGAAGGACTATTCTCCAGAGGCAGGTAAATATGGCATTTCTGGAACTGCAAGAAGGAAGAACAAGTGCATCCCCAGAACTTCTGTCCGCCCACCAAGTGGGGTCCAGAGAGCAAATAACAGAGCAGAGTCCACCTTTGCAGATTCTATTTTCTGTTTACCATCAACTCTGCTGCTATCACTCATCTCGGTGATCCTACGCTGAGAAAGGGAGTGGACACGTTTTTGCAGGTGATGCAGCCAATGGATTCACTCTGCTGAACCACTCTGCCCCAGCTCTTTAAATGAGGCACATGCAAAACTGTGTGTGTGTACATGACTCTGTACAAAGAACATTATCAAATATCTACTGTCGAAGTATCCCTGTGGTATTGTGGCAGGAGTCTTTACGAGTCACAATAAAGGCAGTCAGGGAAATCAATTTAGCAAAGCCCATTTCTTTGATGATGTCACCAAGGGAAACAACAGGAAAAAAAAAAAAAACTTTACATCTCTCTGCGTGGCACTGATTGCCTCACAAAATTGATGAACTTAAAAAACAAACTGTACAGCCACATAAAATAAGGAGCCAATGATTTATTCAAATGATTACAAGAAGAATACACAATTCAAATCAAAATAGTTCAAGGCTCGTTCTCCATGTTTAGCCCTCTTCACACAATACTGCTCTCTCAGCTCACCATCCATCTGTCACTCATGCTGAGACAGAGGCACAGTCATTCTTAACTGTCACACTAATCACTCAACAGCACCTTAAGATCCAAAACACTGCAGACACAAGTGGCAGTAACATGAGTCATTGCTTTAGCAGTAAAAACTCTAACACGATATATCATCAAAGTGGTTTTATTTTGACATGTCGCACAGTAAGGTGGACCCACTTGATGGCATCACACTATGCTTGACGTTTAGTCGAGAGACGAGACTGTGAAAAAAACACCATTGGAGATGTGACACATCTTTATACATAACATTACTCTTTCATTATCATTGCCCTTAAAAGCCATTCAGAACTGACCTATCATTATAAGAGCCAACTGGTCACAGTCAGTTAAAATGAGTGAGTGAGTGAACATGTGAAGATTTCTGTTTTTTGTACGAGTGTGTGTCCACTTACAATAAATACTAAAGCCATGCAGGTAGAACGACACTAGATTAGCAAGAGTGCCTAACAAGAGCCAGTGAGCCAAAGAGGACAAAAAAAGCGGATGGTTTCATTCACTCTCACAGGCTACAAAAAAAAAAGGCCCCAACAAGCCTAAGAGGTCAACGGAAGGAGGAAAAGGAAAAGCTGAGGCCATAGCCTTTGCTCCAAGAACTTCTGACCCCAAAACCTGTATGTGAGTTTCTTTGCAATGCTGTGCTGGCTAAAAGGACAAACATATATCCTTCAAAAACAGAAGATTCAATCCAAAAAGTCACAGGAGGGTTTTGAATGCTGGGGGGAAAAAAAAGGTCCTAATCGGGGAGGAATAACATTGCACCACAACAACTTTGCAATATATCACCTGCAATTGTCTAATCAGTTGCTGAACTGGATAACAAAAGCAGTTCAGAATCTCTGATGATCATCACAGAAAGAAAAAGGGGAACGGAAATGACAACCTGCTACTGGAGTTCTTATTTTTGTTCTCTTTGGTGTATTTAGTGTGCTCCAAACAGATGGACTGAACATCCTCTAAGCCCTGATTGGAGAGTTGGATTTTAATGCTGCTACGTCTGAGAAAATCCTTTTTCTCAGTGTTGGGATTCTTCGTCAGGAAATACAAAGAACAGAAAAGACTGTGGGTAACACTACCCAATATGAACTGGAGTGGTTCAAGCACACACCCCTAACAAAGCCCAGTCACCTTCACAGTGGTCCTCTCCCACTGCAACCATTAACCCTTGTTAAGTTCAGGGCTTTCAAATCCCACAGCAGAGCACAATATGTTGTGTATGTTTTGATCTTTGACCCGGACCATTCCAGTCACTCACTCTCAAGTGCTCGATTGCAAATCCTGTAGAGATGGAAACCAGTAGAGATTTACAAAGCCATCCTGATACCTTAACTATTGATGCTAAAACTCTCTCGTAGTCTTAAGCATTACAAGTATACAAGTTCTACTTTTAAAAGGGGTTGCCCTTGTGTGCATTGGATGACTAAGCTAAAAGATAAATTCCTGACATGCTGACAGAAAGCACAAAAATTATTCATCTGGTTTGCTGTTAACCTAAAAATGTGCAGTTTGGATAGGAAGCCAAGAGCAGGGACCACTTTTGTACCCTGCATGTTTGTGTTTCCTGCTGAGCCACATCTTTTCATGTCTATCTTAATGTCGGGGATGAACAGAAGCCTGTCACTGGTGTCGTTCTCATGAAATGTAGGATTAGAGACCCCTACTGGTGAACTTGTTTGTGCTGCTGTGAACCCAGAGGTGATGTAAATTGTGTCTGTTTATTCCTGTGAGGATGATTTTTTTTTGTATAAAAAAAAAAAAAAGATAGAAAAAAAAAGAGAAATGTTCCATTGTGTCTCTGTAGTTCCCTAAAAAAAATAAACAGGGAGCTTGGGGCTGGAACTTAATTTTTTATTTAATGTGATCATTATCATTATTTAATACTTTTTCAGTTCTGCCTTTTTGGTTTTGCTGACTCATTCAAGATAAGCCGTACACTGCACTTGCCCCCTCCTGCACCTCCTCTATTCTTTCCTATCCTCCTATTCATCCTGTCTTTTCCTCCCTCTTTTACCCACCCCTTCTCTTTCAGTCTGTCTACCTATTCTTCTCCTTCTTCTCAATCTTCTCCGTCCTCTCCTCCTTATTCTTTCCACTCCTCTCTTCATTTGTGCAACCCAAATGTTTTGTATGTGGTTATCAAACAATGCCAGACTCAAAAGCTGTTTATAAATAACATTAAACAGAAAGTGTCCTCAAACGGCTGAGGTGGTCTGTTTGTTTGCTTCCCTTTTGTTAGCGCATATGCACATCTGTGTGTTGGTGAATGTATGTGTGTGAATGGCTAATAGACAGACCTCAAAAAAGAGTCCCAAGGCTTCGTGATAAAGTCATGAAATGAAAGAGAAAAAAATGGTTAAAAATTAAAAATGGTAATGGAATAAGGACACAAATTCATCTATTACTGGGAGAAAAACACGCCCACATTAAACCAGGGTATATTTTGGCCTGCTTCATGTCCTAGTTTAACTTGTGCACTCAGCAGACTTGTATGAAATATATATCAGAATGACACACGCACACACTCACACAAAAACCCACTCACACATACACACCTGTCGAGCTGTGTTAGCAGTGAGGGAGAGAGGGATGTGTCTTGTGTGAGGTCAAGGTGAGGTCAAACAGAGCGCTAGCCTATGCCAAGTCTACTTTAATTGTTTGCACAGTGTTCACGTTAATGCATGTGAACACTGTGCAGCATTGAAATGCTCTATTTCTGTATGTGTTTGTGTGTTAGATGTGTGACGCGAGTCCACCGGTTCACAAAGGATGCCCATTGTCACGCCATTGTCAGGCAGATCCAGTCTGACAGCTGGCCAGGGCAGGGGAAGAGGTGTGCCTCTGAGAGACAGTATCACTGCTCGGTTTGTAAAACTAAGCTGACAATTGGGAGAGAGAGAGAGAGAGAGAAAGAGAAAGAGACAGTGAGAGAGAGAGAGAGAGAGAGGGGGAATAAGTAACGCACAAGGATTTAAAGGCAGGGGGTTGGAGATATCTACCAAAGAAGTCCATGAAGCAGTTATCAGTACCAAAACAGACCAGCAGCCAGGGGACCGGGAGGGGCAATAATAATATGGCTAGCCAATCACAGCATGCGTTCTATCCAAAGCCTTGTATTCAGTCTATATCAACCTATGAAAAGACAGAAGATGTGTGTACTATAGACATGAGCTCTGGTAAAATGTGAAATATGAAGCAGTCTCTAGAAGAGGCCATGGGAAATGCACATTCATTATTAAGAGACTCAAAATTAAAAGGTATATAAATAATGCACGTTTTTAAGAACAATGGAAAAAAAGACCAATGATGTTGAGCGTTCAAGGCCAAGTGAGTGGAAGGACAGAAGAAACAAGAAATTAGTGTAGCATTGAGGAAAGGAAGACTAAGAATTAAAAAAAAGGAAGGGAGATTTAAAAAACAAAAATAAAGGGAATCATAAATCAAGCCAGAGTCTCATTAAAGAAGTAGAGGGATGAAGAAATGAAGTGATAAAGGGAAGAAGATGTCGGAAAGATACCCAGTTGAAAAGGAATGTAGATGTAAATCAGTTAAAGCAATGAACAAAGTTTATGAAAAACATGATAAGTGTGGAGGTGAGGAAGGATAAAGGCAAAGACGGATGGGATTCAATGATAAATTGACAGGAGAGGAGTGAGAGGAAGAGAAGAAAAAGAAAGCACAAGAGGACGAAGAGTGAAGGCAATAGGAGGCAAAAGAAAGTGAAGATATAAAGTACATGTTGAGGACGATCAAAAGTATGCGAGGAAAGGTATTAAAGGAGAAAACAAGGCAGCGAGGAAAGAGCTGAGAAAAAGAGGTATGGACAGGGAGAGAGGGAGAAATCATCCATAGAGGCCCATGTATACAGGCTTCATGATCAAACAGAAGAACAGCTCATCCACTAGTTCAGTCCCTAAGCTGAGGATCTGAAATAGCCGCATGTGAATATTTATACATGCCTGTGTTCCCTTCCAAAGGCAAAGAGGCCAAGCAAAATTGATTTCTCTGTGTGAATCCCTGAAGAGTTGAGACTCAGCAAGAGAAAAAACTGAAGAGAGCAAGGAAGATTTATAAAAAAAAGGAATAAAGCACAGCTCCTAAAAAAAAAAAAAAAAAAAAAACAGTGATAGATTTTGTGAAACAAGCGGAAAACTGAGAAATGAGACACCTTCAGTGAAATGCAAATGTTTCAAACAAACTGATCCACACATTGTTCTTCACTGCATTCTTTCTCCAGAGGAATGCAAGCGAAATATTCCCACAATATGATTGGATTTTTGTTCCGATCACCAGCCAAGCGCATTGCATCTATCACGCGCCAGCTCACATGCCTTACACCAGCTACCTTCCTGTAAGCACCATTTAACACCAGCCGCCTTGTCGCTGCCATAACTCCATCAGGCTTCATTACACTCATTATAGGCATATATCTGATTCTAATTAGGACCAAGGTCAAAGTATGGAACCGCAATGGAGCCAAAGAGGACCTGCAGCTTTGAAACCAGAGGCCTATACTCTGCTTGATCTAGTTTTGATTTGTTGGAAAATTGAATTTCTGTCTGTTTCAGGTCAAAACTTTCATCAAATTAATTCACATTTTTACCTTTATGGACAGCTTCCTTTATTCTTTCTTCGAATACACTCCACCATACTGGGAGGTTCCTTTGTTCAGTATGTCAACATATAATTGTAAATGGACAAGTCTAACTATTGCAGATTTAAAGGGTTGAATGTGTATTTGAACGAAAAAGGGAAACCCGTACAGGTATTTTTAACATTTCAGCAGCAGAGGCTTACATAAGGAAATCTTAGAAGTGACTTTTGAACACACAGTTTATGTCTTCATCATCTGCTGTGTGTGCATTTTAAATCAAGAGTGTCGATGTGTTTTCATCAGTTTTAGAGTCTTGCTGCAGCTTTATTAAATGTTTCATCACCCTGGATTAATGTTTTAAATCAGTGAAGCCTCTCTATCTGCACTGTGCGCCCACAGAAACAATATTTGTGTTTCTAAATGCATTTTTAATGAACCTTCCCTCAACCAAACAGTCTTGAAAGAGATGTCAACATTAATTCAAACACATCTGAATGAAAGTGACACTTTTCAGGCATAATTGTCACCATGCTAGTTCTGAATATTATGACAAACAGTGATATAACAATGATGGAACTCAGAAAGAAAGTAACAAGAGTTGTCCTTATTGTAATTCAAATCGAAATCAATCCTGAAAGAGTATACATCCAGCCATTTGTAAATTTGTCTGTTTGTATGAATACATCAATTCTGAAAAAAGACACACTCGTAGGAAAAAATGTTTAGAAGCTGCCAACATCTATAATATCCAGCATGTTAATGTTATATGCAATACTGAAAAACAGTGAACACAATATACAATTCTAATTCATGGAAGCAGTCCAGTGCCTTTAGGAGAAGGTTCCAAATCTTAATTGGTGGTCTCATACTATTGATCTGCCTGATTAGAACACTAAATGATTAAATGTTGGCACCAACATTACTAGTGGGTTGTATTATTTTCTGTGTGATGGATAGGATTCCAAGTTTGTCTGCTCCAACTCAACTAGGTCGACATTGCATTGACTAATATGAATCTATAAACAATGTAAAAGGGCATACTTAATATGAGCCACAATTAACCATCATACACATGAGGTGTCCATACCACTCAGTGTTTCTTCATATACTACAGTATGTACCATGGTATGTACCATAGAACAGTCCTCCAAAGTGTTTCTATTTCTGTCCCCACCTAAAAGATGTCTCATCTTATAATATGTAAAAGGAGATAAGCAGGACAATTTTCAGGTGTGAATGTGTGAACGTGGATGTGTTTCGTAAATTTCAGCTAGTGCCCTCTAGATAAAGATTACAACCTAAGGCCAGAGGTTTTTAATAACACATTACCATCCAACAAACCATCGATTACAACTTCATTTCTCAGCCTTTGCAGTAGATAGATCTATGAAGATCAGTTGAACAAGCTGGTAGTGGTAAATGGACTTGAGCTTATATAGTGCACCACCACTGAAGCAGCGGGAGCAACTTGGGGTTAAGTGTCTTGCAACAACTCTACCAACTGAGCCACAGCCACTCACTGGTAGGATGATATCTGCATCTCATAGTTTGAAGACAGTGAATACAGTGTATTTTATCAACGCTGTATAAGAAATCTAGGGACATTCTTGCCAGAGTAAGATCCACACAGAGTCTTTGCACTGTCTGTACTCAGATGATCCCACTGGCATGAACATCAGTGTAACTCCCTGCAGTGTTTCTCTTTAGAGAGTTTCTCAGTCATGCTCAGATATGGCTCCCTCAGGTACTGTTGGTTGAGGAGCAATTCTTGCTGTCACCGGGATAACAAGTTCCTGTGCCAGGTCCTCCAGCCACTCTTTGAAGCCACTCTGTACTGTACTTGGCTGTCAATGTTTTTCTCCTCATTTTTTTCCTCCATGAAAATTGTCAGCACAGAGAAAGAAGCTCCAACTCCATCACTTCTTCGAGCGACACCGGAATTAATCTCATCCAATCATCTTGATTCAGCAAATCCACATCTTTTGTGTGTTATTTGCGAGTCAAAAAGGGATACTGCACTACTCAATTTAGCTCAACTCTTGCTTCCTACTTGTCACTTCCCTTTACTGAGCCATTCTCAGTAAGATCATGGTAAGTATATTTTATCGTCGTGTGTTTGTCACTTATTTCTTCTTTAGCATTCTGAATAGATCATGTTTCTCCCAATGTTAGCCATTTCTGATTCAAATATTCTTTGCTAAATTTACTTCTCTGTTTTCTTGGCTTTTTTAATGTTGCTTATTTGTCAGATCATGAGTATTCTTTATTTGAATTTTTGATTTGATATCCAGAAATGAATATAAGCATTGCATATCAATGCAATCATGTCCCAAAACATTGAAAAAACCTGGCTGTGTGAAAATACCTGTGTGGAACACATGTGCTCATGCATTTGTAGACCTTCTATCACTCACTCACTATTGATTTTCTCCAGACACTGCATGAGAGTAGAGACTTCCTGTAGACATAACTGCCAATTACTTTGACTGTAACCTGTTTAACCCCTCACCTCTCCCTCACATTCCCTCTGGACTCTTCCAGCAGTTCTTGGTGTAAACTTTTTTTCTGTAATTGTTTCCGGTCAGGTCTTTGCTTGTGCTGT